CTGACTTGTTAATCATTTAAGTATAACTATTGTATTTTCTTTTGACATGTTTAAACTACATGAATCCCCTGATTAATATGTTTTAATGGTGTGCTAAAACTTATATACCAAAATACAATTAGTGCATGCATTAGTGCAGTAAAACATTCTTCATTTTAACCATAGTAATTGAAAATTTATTTTTATATAGTTACTGATTAAATTTTTTTTTTTTAAATTTAAGAATGGAAAATGAGTAACTATTCTTGGTTTCATTTCCTCTTAAGGTTTTTTTTTGTTATGAACATATTTAAGTGTCAGTTTCATTTGTTTGCGACAATTGTTTATTGAATTAGATAGATCAAATGATGAAAATTTGATTCTGTTCTGAACATTAAACAATGCAAAAAAAAAACAAACAAAATGGATTTCATATTTATTAAGCACTGAATACAATTTGATAAGTAATATTTATTAGATGAAGCGTTATCAACCATTATTAATTTTTGACTTTTTTTCCTTTTCTTACACTTGCTTTTCATTGCAACTACTAAGACTCTTAGTCTATGTTTGTGAGTAAACAGACAGATAAGAACTAAAGAATAGTCTCCAGGTGGGACTCTAACACTCATCCATTTTATGCCTTAAAGCTTGCTGATGGACAACAGCCAGTTGATTGTGAGCTACTAGCACTTTTATGGTTGGCAGAAAATCAAAAAGTAAAATCTATGCTAGCACTAGAGCAGCTGCTGTATATATATATATATATATATATATATATATATATATATATGTGTGTGCCTACACTTCTTGAGGTAAAAAGGGTATAGGTTCAAGCCTTCAAGGATAAGATTTTTTTTTTCTGCGAATTTAATTCTTTTAGTATTTTGTAATTTTCTGGTTATTCTTTCTTTTACTGCCTTGTTATTGTATCACCACACAATAACACAGACCAGCCAATGGTGCAGCTATGTCCTTTTTGTTCAACTCTACTCTTGTTTCTTGAAAAGGTCAACACAATTTACTTGTAATCCATTGTCTTTTTGCTTCATTTGCTGGCACAGTGTTATAACAAAATCATTAACTTGCAGCTTTCAGGTTCTGGTGATGGTTTAGCCTGGTAATATCTGCCTATCCTGACATGAATACAGGCCAATCCTTTTGAATTGGGTTTGCTTTGCTGTATATGTGATGCAGTTGAAGGTGGTTATAACTGATTAATATTGCAAAGTTCAGTAGTTGTTTCAAATTGAATTCTGACAAGCTATTTTGATGATTCATTTTTTGGCTAGTTTTTTTTTTTTAACAGCAAGATGAATATAGATTTGGGCTATGTTTAGCTTATTAATTTAAATGTCTGAATAATATCTTATACTTATATCAATTTCATAACAATGGTTTTCATTATTGTGCATTTTTTTTATAGATGTGTAAATGCATTGCATACATTAATAATTGTTTATTAACAGTTTAGGCTAGCTTAAACAGTTTATCACCAAGTAGGGGTCATGGCTGCATCAATATCATAGATGGAGGAAAAATTGCACAATCAATTAGTTTTACAGGTTTTGAACAGCAAGCATTTTTTGTGTGTCTGTTTTTATTTGTATTAATGAAATTTCTTTTATGTTATTAAGAATATAGTGTAGGATTTCTTATTGTAAACTCTGTAGTGGGTTAGCCAATCTGTATCAGTGACAAAATACAAATTAAACTGACCCTTTACTATTTTTACAAAATCAAATGCAACAAAGACAACAACAAGAAGAGAAATAGTAAGATATTTGTTTTAAAAGAAAATATTTTTTATATAATAACAAGTACACACAATATAATAAAGTTGTTTAAAACACTTTAGAGTTCTTGGTTGTGTGATTGTGTGATAAAGGGTAATATAAAAGGTGTTATGCTATAGATCTAGTAAGGAATTAAAGTTTATCTTGATGATGAAACAGGCCAATTCGAGGTTAACCATACAGACATAGGCAGAAACATGACATTATTATTTATGGACCAATCAGAAAGCATTGTTTTATACTGAAATCTGGAGCTGATTTTAATGGGTTCAGCACAAACTGAGAATGCTTAGCTGTGATCCTCTTTTAACAGGTTAAATCAGAGAATATAGAAATCTAATTCTAAAACTCTTAGACATATTTCTGTATATATTAATTTTTACTTTTGATACAATGTCTTTGTTTTTGTCAGTGCAGCAGTTTTTAAGATGCTAGAACAGCAATTGTCTTAGATCTGAATAGTACCAGTTTTATTTTATGGAAATGTATGTCAATTTGAATTTATCATAATTTTATGATATTAAAATGTCAGAAAAAAATCTTGGTAATCTTACAGAAATTTACTCAAAATATTTGAGTTTTTCATATACAGAAAATAAATTTAAAATATGATGCAATTTGTTTCTCATGTAGTACATCTCTGAAGTTCTGAGTAATGAACAAAACCAATCAATAGAACCGATTTACTAAAGCGCCACCATTTAAATGGTTGTACCTAAAATACATTAAAAGCTGGATTTGATTTAGAATCACAAATGAAGACATGCCAGTTTTAGGAAACCATAATAACTTTACTCAACATAATATTTTTCTTTTATAACACATGCTCAGTGTTATATTACTGTTTGCGAATAAACTTGTCTTAAAAGAGCAACTTCGTTGAAGAGATACTGAAATTGGGATGGGCACATGTTTTTCTATTAAAGAATAAGCATTTGTTTAGAGAGAGATAGGGAGAAATGATTTTGGTAAGTGTTGGCCTCTTTTTTGGAGGAAAGTATTTAGCTCTAAAACTTTAGAAAATAGATGCTGTGTGCATGCATGCAACAACAGTAGCTTTTATACAATAATCTCTTTCTCTCATATACCTCACACAAATCTTGCTTTTTGGTCACTTTCATATATTTGATAAAGGCAGTCACAAAAGTTGTCATAACTGCACACAACTATGGTTCTCTTGAATAAAAAATATGCTATTTTGATTAAATTTTTTTTTTTTTTTTTTTAATAGTGAAATATTTGCTAAATTTTAACATGGTCAGAATGGTTTGAAGGAGGTGATAATAGTTAGAAATAGGAATATTATATTATCTAGGAAATGGTGAATGGCAAACCTTCATCTTCAAAAATGTCCTTGTATCTATGTGTATGTGCTATATTAAATGATTTTGAAGTGTCAGTTGTCTGCTTATTCATAAGATGCTTGTTTTTGATTTGAGCTTTACGCTGGGTGGAGTCCCAGTTTGAAACTGGGACACTTGTAATGGTCAAGGCCATCCTTATGCCTTCATCAGAAAACTTTTGATGCTTCCTTACTCTTTTTTTTCTCTTTCTTTTCCAATTGTCATTGGGATGTCAGTAACTTTTGAAACTAAAAGAAGCAATACAAACCAGTTTCTTCATGTGACTGCTGATTCTCTCTTGCTTGTTAAATGAAAACAAGCATTGGTTTATGAATGAAGTACTTTTGTCATGTGTTTTACATACTTTGAATCTCTTGTTAGGAATTACTAGTACCTAAAAGCTACTACCACTAAACTGATAGTTTAAAATAAATATGACAATGATTTCCTTTTTATAATTTTTATTCAATGCTAAATTTCAAGTTTTATATCTTGTGTTTGCTTAGTGAAAAAGTTTCAAAAATTTTCAATGGGAATAGATCTGTTGTAAAATTTTCTTGAACTGATAATCTTGTGACAGAAAAAGGTTTATACTCTTTAGTCTTTACAAAGTAAAATATAGTATTAAATGTCTTTTTTTATTTTTATCTACCTTAGGCTAGCTTAAATAATTTATCACTAAAGTATGTTCTCTGAATTTCTGCTTCAAAGTAGTCATACTATTAATATTTTTTAATTGGCTAGCTAATTGTTTTGTCTTATATAATATTGCCAAAATTATTAGCTACTTGATATCTTATTGTCTTTTTGTAAAACTGCAGAGTGCAGCAGCAGATGTTAGCAAACTTTTGCTTAAAATCTTTTCATCAAATAAATTAATTTATAATTTGTACACAGATATTGATAGAATAATGATTTCCTTCATTTCAATGACATTTATTTTCATTGAAATCCTTTAAAAGTTAAAAGAATGTCATCAATATTTTTATTGATTTTATGTTATACATCTTCATTCCTTCACCCACCAAAATTGGTTTTAAGAATTATTTTATTTAAAAAAATGTTATATCAATTTGTAAATTTTAAGTTTTAACTGTCTTATCCCATGTGTTCAATTATTCTTTCTTAAAGCAATTTTAATTTTACTAATGAAAGTAGGGGATATGTTATAATTTAACTATGTTAAAAATTAAGTCTTTTAATATTAATTCTCAGTTTTATACTTTTAATTTTTAAAAAATGGAAAATGTTCATTATCAATATTGTAATTATTAATGGCATTGTGTGAGCATGTCTGAAATATTTTTCATTAACAAAAGAAAAAAAAACCCCAAAAACTAATTGTTTGAGAATGTTCCTTAAAAATCTAGACTTTTGCTTTTGAATTTTGGTTATATATATTCTTTCACCATCTTCCACTTCTCTAAAGAGTAATATTTGTTTCTTTTTAAATCATTTTTCTCTCTCTCTCTCTCTCTCTCTTTTGTGTGTATATGGTTGGGGGAGTCTGGCTAAGTTAATGTTGATGGTTTGCATTTAAGAGAGTGGAGGTAGTAAAAATCATTTGGTTGAGTGTCAGACTGATAGAAGTGTGGGTTGGGGGAGAAAGGCAGTTGAGGGTGGGGAGAGTCATTTCAGGCTTGGATTGGTGTTTCACCAGAATGTGGGAGGTGCACACCCTGTTAGATTTCTTTTTAGGTGGCTTCTGCTAGACATTGAATTCTTTCCCAGGACACTACTGAAAACTTTTGTATACATACAAATGTACATTTACTCTTGTATTTTCTTCAAAAGTATGAAAAAGACAAACAACTTATGAATAAAACATTGTTCCTTTGCTTTTAATGTGGTGGAAGGACATAAACAATTGGTTTCTCTTCAGCTTTTGATGGTGCTAAAATCAGTGGTATGTACAACCATTTTACATTTTGGCATCTTACTATTTGTGTTATTAATGACTTCTATGTGATGTACCCCTTCAGGATGTAGGCGATCATGGCTCTCCTCAACTTCCCATCCTATTAATAACTAATGAGTTTTAATTCATTTTTTCTTAGCAATTTTAATCACATAATATCTTAAAACAAACTAGTCCGCATGTAAATAATCTCAAAAAATGTTTTGATAAATTCAACCAACAACGTCTGTCTGTTTAATTTTCTTTTGCATTTTCCCAATTTTTGTATAAGATGTTGTTTATCAGGATTGAAACTGGATAAATTTCATGAGTTCAATTTCAATCATGCTTTACATCTATATCAGAAAACTGGAAATATATAAAAATTCCACAGACCTTGTAGGTTGAATTTAATAAAACTTGTTTTTTGACGTTTGTATAACTTGTAATTTATATACTAGAGAAAACAATGACATTTCAAATTTAGTCTTGTTTACACTGTAATTTAAACGAAATGATTGAGTCTTTTTAGTATAAATTAATTACATGTGTAGATAATTTAAAGTGGGAAATACCAAATATTAATTTTGGGGATTATCTTAAAATTTTAATCCTTTTGCACACTGTTCTGATCGTATTAATAATAGTAATAACAATAATAAAAACAAAGATGCTATGAAGTAATGTAAAAATTGATCTTCAAGTATTTTTTTTTAAAATTAATTTTATCCTTTATGGAAGAGTTATTATTTTTATAACTGTTTTGATGCCAACCATTATAATAAAACTTTTAACAATGTTACTTTTGTTTTCATTATATATATAATATTATACACACACACACACACACACACACACACATATATATATATATATATATATATATATATTCCCAGATGTAATGAGAACAAGAATAATGTAAATTCTAACAATCATAGCATTAATTCCAAAAAAAGGGCTCAATACCAAGAGTAGAGCAATAATTATTTATTATAGATTTTTACATGTGAACAAAAACAATTACCCTCTAAAAAGATGCATTCTTGTTTTGATGCCTTATTGCATCTCAATTGGTGGGAACTAAAAATGGTTATGGACAATTCTGTTGACAGAAACCATTTTTAGTTCCCACCAGTTGAGATGCAATAAAGCATCAAAACAAGAATGCATCTTTGTAGTGGATAATTGTTTTTGTCCACATGTATGTACATATATATGATGTGACCTACTTTGTCTTTCTCTCTTCATTATCTTTAACTGTATTAGTTGAACAACCTTTAAATCCTAATAAGAATGTTGTGAACATTTCCTTGTCTTACTCTGCTGCTGTTTGGTTTGTTTTTTATTGTATTGAAAAGTCACCAGTTAATTTGACATAAATGTCAATTCCTATCTTGGCCCTGATTCATAGACTTTTGCCACCTCCCTCCTAATTTTTCTATCTCAATTTCTAGTCAGCAACATACCAATCTTGTGTCCTCCTCACACACACACACACACACAAAAAGAAACAATTACATTGGCATTTTTCATTTAGTATCTTATATATCCAGTTGCGATTTTGTGTGTGAGAGTAACTGAAGAAAAACGAAATATTTTTTTTATTTTATTATATTTTTTAAATAAAGCAGATTTAATTTCCTGGTTGTGGCACAAATGCTTTTAATTTATATATAAAGTATTAAAATGTTGTAAATAATACTCACTATCAGAAAGTATTTATTGAATATGACCAGTGTCTACAGAAATCAACATGACATGGTGACATATTAGTCTGATTGCTTAAAACATAAAAATTGCCAGTCACATTGCAGTGTTGATCTCTATATAAACACTTTCATATAATACACATATAATTGTTGCTACTGAAATTGTTTTTAAGTTTTGCTAACCAAAGTAGTTTTCTATTCATTTTAATTTCTTCAATGAATTTGATTTAATCAAACTAAGTCACTGCATCACTACTTACCAAATTATCTTTTATTAATACAAGCAGGTACTAACTAAAAGGTTCTCAACATAAGAGAATTTTAAAAAAAATTCAGATTTGTTAGATTTTAAGAAAGTGGGTCAGTTCAACAACTTTTCAGCACCTTCTCTTACATTCAGTATGTCCTGCAAAATGAACATATTTAAAAAAAAAAAAAAAATTCAAAAATAATTTCATTCATTTGTGAATATGTCCTGAAAATTTCATTAAAATCAGACAATTACTTGATTTTTACAAGAATTTCCAAATCAATGTGTTTTCAACGGAAAAAAAGTGCAAAAATAAAAAAAAAAAACAATATTTTCATGTCACCGCGATAACATAGACAAAAGAACACTTTAACCAAAATTTCGAACATGTTAGAAAGGATTTAAAAATTTCAAAAAATAATTAAAAATTTGTTCTTTCATCTTAATAATAACATAAGCATTTTGATGATAAAACTTTATTTTCGTTAAGTTTGTGACATTTTTCATTACGCTATCTGTTTTCCTGCGAAAAACCGGAGGACCCTATTTTAATGTTATTACAAAATTTATTGGATTATCATTGCTTTTTATTTATTTCAGTTACTGAAGTGAATTTATTTTAATGTTTCAAATATTAGAAATGTTAATTTTTCTTTCAATGCTATGTAAAGCTCTATGATAATGGTTATGTAATATAAATTTGTTTGGTTTATGTGAAAAGAGAGGGAAGCTTTTTGATCCAAAGGTGCAGGATTTGTATTGTATCAATTGTCTGTGTTTGTGCTTTTATATATATATATATATATATATATATATATATATATATATATATATATATATATATAAGAGAGAGAGAGACTATGAAATTGGAAATTTTATTTGAAATAAAATTATTACATCATCTTTTGCCTTTATTGTGAAGGTATTTCTTTCATGTGTTTGCATTTGCATGAATATACAACAGCTAATTATTGAGTTATTTCAATGTTTATTTGGCCTGTCTCCTCATCCAACAGGATAAAGTGGATATATACATTTGCATATTGCCGGAGGATTGGAAAGTCACAAAGACTTTTGTGCTGATTGTTTCAAATCAAATTGAAATTAGTTTTTCATTTGTTCATCATAAAAAATATTTCATTTCTTTTGAAACTTTATGCACAAAAACTATTACTGACTTCATAAGTATATCAATTTATTCAGAAGCAAATTTATTATTTTGAAATGTTTGTATATCCGTAATTCTATAACCTAATGATGAACGTCATTTTACACAACAAATGTTTATTTTTCAATATAAACACTTATCAATGCATTTAATTCAATAACTATCAATCACACTGTGAATCACATTAGGTAGTGAAAATTTCAGATAAAAATTTGGCTAATTAGCTACAAACTTATTGATTCACACTCAAAATTCTTTTCAATGTTGAATTTGACTTTACTTTTTAACTTTTGTTTTTCTCACTTCCCTTGTGTCATTTTTGTCTTTGCATATTAATTGTATTTTCTTTGATATTTCCAATTTACTTTTAATTTATATTAAAATAGTTTTTGCATTATGTTAGCAGGGTGGGGGAATTACTATTCATTTTTTAAATGGAAATTATTTTCAATGTATGATTACAAATTTGGTCAGGAAAAGAGTGAATGTTTTCAGTATTGACAATAAATAATCTTACTCTTTATTTGTGTGTGTATATATATATATATATATAACTATATTTCAATATATAAAATGTTAGTTATTAATCGTAATTGTTTTTATGTGTATTCATAAATGTATAAGTTACTTTTTAATGTTCAATTTTCATTGCTTATAACACAGTACATTAAATTAAAAAGAAATTATGAAGTACTTGGTTGTGTTTGTGTGATTTTTGTGTTTTTAGCATAGCTGAAAAGTAGTTTATTAGAATGTACATCAATCTGTTCTCAATAAGCCAGTTTTTCTTTATTCAAATGGTTATAAACATATTCAGCAAAGCTTTATTTAAAGTATATTTATTATTTTGACTGCAGTAATTATTTTACTTATTTTTAATTTGTTTTTTTAAATATTCTTTGCTTTTGCCTTTCTTTTTTCTTTTTTTTTTTTTAATCTAGAAATATTGCTCAAATGAATACTGATTCTCAAATTTAGTAACAGAATGGGAACTTTTAAATTTTATTTTTAAATAAATGTAATATGTAACTATAAATAAAAAGGTTAATTTTGCTAAAATGTCTTGGATCATGCTACAAGTTGCAACCTGCCCATGAGAAGGTCAGGAAGATATGTTTTAAGGTTTTATAATAGTTAAATGGAATGTCAGTTTGTTTATAAATTCATTCAGAATAAAGATTTCCATATGAAATGAAATGAAATGAAATAAGAAAAAAAAAGCAGATACTACACTGTAATGTTGGAAGAAATTTCAGTTTATTGTGATCATTCCAGTTTGAAATCTGGTTGTAACAGTTACTGGAAAGGATTTTATTATGAATTTATAACTGGTGGCCGGTTGAAATTAAATTGTCCTAATTTTCCAAGTAGCGTAAATTGCAAATTGATTGAATGGTAAGAATGTAACAGTTACTAGTGTGGATTTTACAAGTGAGTTAATCTATATCTGGTGCCAGTCGGAATGGGACTTGTGAAGTTGATATGAAAAACTTAGACACCCAAATTAGCTAATTTGAATTTTACTAGCATATTAGAAGTACCATGGTATCTGGTTCTTGTAGTGGGTCTCTTGGAGAAATGAAAAACATTTAATTACTATAAAATGAATTAGTACCTGGAAAATATCTGGGTTTGAACTTGTGAATTAAGAAGTTTTAACTAGTATGATCGAATGAAAAGATAAGAACTCACCCTTCACCCTTGTTTGCTATTGGAAAAATGACAATTGGAATAAACTGGCTACCCAACCCCCAAACTCAAACTTGAAAATTTTTGAATTTAATTTCATTCAACCATTCAGTTTTGATTGTATATTAGATTAAGAATTAGGTTACACCTGGCCATGTGTGTGTGTCACAAGAGGATGAGTCATCAAAACCCCACTATTACTATGTATGTATGTAAATCAATCTGTAACTTGATAACTGAAAGGAATATTCCTTAGTGACCAGTATGAGGTAGTGGGCTAATCTGGTCAGAAGCATATACCAGAAGAATGTTGAAATATAGCAAGATCAGTTATAATTCACATTCATTATAATGGTGAGTTCAGTCCCTGGGCTGAGTAGTACAGACTTAGTGGAAACAGGGCAAGCAATAACTGAGCAGTAATAATTTAGAATAAGACTAAATTTCACAAGACATGGACAAAGTAATGAGATTTAATCTACTCTTGTGAAATGTTCAATTCAAACTTCCCTGAAGGTTACCCAGATTGATAGACACTTGAAGAAATCTAGAGGGCACAGTGGCTGAAACTGGAATAACAAAAATGGACATTAGTCCAGATGTAACAAGCAAGAGCAATTGACATCTTCATCCCTCTTTTCTACTCACTCTATCACTCATGAATAATTTTGTCAACTGAAAAGATTTCCCTAGCTTAGGTTTTCATTTGCAGACTAATGAATGAAGAGATGGAGACCAGCTTTTTAGAAATAAACATTGAAGGCCTGAGATCAAATCTCTTGACTGAATTGTTGAACCAACTACCAGTGACTAGTCTGGGGCATTATTGCTGTTGTGACATATTGGGAATAATACTGATGTTTTGTTTTACGGCATAGGTTATTTATTGCCAACAAAATTTTTATTGCTGGTAATATTTTGTTTTGTCAAAAAATCTATTTCTGGTAATATTTTTCCTTCAAAAATGTATTGCTGGTAATGTTTTTCAAAAAAAGTATTGCTGGTAATTTTTTTTTTTTTTTTCTTCAAAAATTTATTGCTGGAAATAATTTTTTTTACAAAGTATTTCTGGTATTAAAACCTGTTTTTACACTTTCATAGTGTTTTTACCCCAGTTTTGGAGTTGACTATTTGCTCATAGCTGGGACCCTAACAGGTGCTACCACCCCGGGTCAGGGTGGACCTGGGAACACCAGCAATTAAGAGGTGGTTCCACGCTCCTAATTCAAGTTTTAAAAGCCAGAATGCTTTAATCATTTCATTGAGAATTTTATGTTCATGAGAATAGACTTTATTCTTGGAAGAATTTTTCCTCAGATAAATTGTTGAATTTTTTTATTGCATTAAAATCCAAAAGAATTTCAGCCTTCTGATTCACTGACCAACTAATTGTATGTTGGGATTCATTGGTTCCACTTTATAATTAAAGATTATAAATAAAAAAAATGAAAAAAAAAAATGAACAAAATGGAATCAAGGCCAGTTGTTTTGCTAAAAGACAGCAATTGGATATTAGATTTGATTATTTTATCAAGAATATTTAATCATATGTTAGTCTTTTAACAAAAAACAAGTAACTGGAAAACCATGATTATATGTCCTGAAGGAATATGGCTTATATGTGGTTTATATTTTTATGGATGTTTTATATACTTTTATCAGATTTATATTACTCTATTATATAATTAGAATTTTATATCTTTAACTTTTAATTTTTATTAAATTTATAAATGCAAGTCATGAATAGTACTTTATAATCTCACATAGAAACTATGGTTCCTTAAAATCTCTTCACTATATAGAAAAGTCAAAATGCTTTAAGCATTGTTTTTTTTTTTATTTTTTAACTGAATTTTAACCCCCGAAATTGTATTGTCCTTGGGAGTTACAAGTTGAATCAAATGCTCTCCTATAAAAGTGAATTGGTTGCCTCATGTAGGAAACAAAAGATGTTTCTGTTGACCATGTGGTAAAGTTGGATTAGACAAATACAACATTTAATTTCCATTAAAACATCTTTTAATATAAAACTTGTTTCTTTCCAGCTTTCAGCTAACATATCAATTCTTGGTTTATTGATCAGTCATTATTTTAGATTTTAAAAATAATGCTAATCATTTTTTGTCTAAATCTCAGATGTGAGATTGTGTATAGAATAGTATTCTGTTTAGTTTTTGTCTATTTCAATTTTTTTTTTTTTTTTTTTTTGTAAAAACAAAGCACCAATGAAAATCCTTATCTTTTCTTTCTTTTTCGCTATCTAGACACGTGCTATGTACTCTCCTTTGCCATTATTATGCTGAATACCAGTTTACACAACCCCAGCGTCAAAGACAAACCTACAGTGGAGCGATTCATCCAAATGAACCGAGGAATCAATGATGGATATGACTTACCAGCAGAACTTCTCACTGTAAGTTGGAATTTGAGGATTTCCCTTTCAACAAATTCCTTTTGATTTTGATTATAGAAATTAACAAATCTCATTTTCTTTCATTCTTTCTACTGCTAATGAAATGTAAATATTCTGAAATGACCGATCAAAATATTTTGATTTCATTACATTTGAGAGACTTTTGGATTACATGTAAGACAAAGGAAGTTATAATTCATTTAACAATTTGAATGCATCAGAGAAATCACAAAATGCTCAACATTTTATTCTCTTCACAGTGTTTGAAGGACTGAAAAATGATCATTTAAATTAACTGATGCTTTAACAAATTTCAGGAATGATGCACATTTATTTTTTTTAATATTTAGAAAAACTCTTTATTTCAAATTTGGTTTTAAAAGTAATTTTTTTTTTTTTTTTTTTTTTTTTTTTTAATTATTAATGTCCAATAATTGATTTATTGTAATGATTTCTCCCCATGTATATTAATATATTCACAATGTCATTTTCTCAACATCTAAGGCCATCTTCACATCTCTGATACCCAGGTATAACAAGACAATTGATCAATTGGACTCAAGTAATCTTTACTTTTAAGATTTACAAAATTAAATTTTTGGATTTTATGAAATTGTTGCAATTAAATCTATATTTATAAAACAGAAGACATTTTTACTTGTGTGTGTGTTATTTATGCAAGACCACATTTCTCGACTGATTTTGGTGAAATTGTATATACATGTTGCAAATTTACCAAGAGGTCAAGACCAAATATTCAGTTGGATTTTTCATACTACTTAAAATAAAAACTTGAATTACTTCCTCATTTTTTTATCCAATTTTCTTCAAACATGTCACAAAAAATTTGCCATCATGCAAGAAATAAGATAATGTGGTCTTAGTCCTGCTAGCTTCCCTGTGTATAATGAAAACCCACAAAAACCTGTTCAAAAAGCCCATTTTTTGGCCTTAACTACCTGGTATTTCATACAATGCTTTCAAAATTTGCCATTTAAATTATATATGACACACAAATTGTCCTGCATGAATATTTTTGGTTTAGATTATTTCAGTTAAGTGGAGGAAATATGTGACAAACTATGTCCAAAATCGGCTTTTGCCATTTAGCCAATAGTTTCTTTATATGATTCCATCCTAAATTGGCATTTGAAACCTTTGATGCTAAGATTGTTTGAGAAGGATTATTGAAGCATTAAAAGGGAAAAATTTCCAAAAAACCTTTTATTAATCCCAGCTTTACTGTAAATGGGTGAAGAAGGAGGGGGGTCATTCATGCATTTGCACAATTGGATCAAGTACTGATCCTTCATCCCTGTTTTTGTTTATTAAATTTGTGAACAATGCTATGCTATTTGGAAAGTTATTACATCCACAGGAAATTTACTGAATATCTGAAACATTGAAACAATTTAACCCTGAGCAACGATCACACAAGGAGGTTTTTTTATCAATGGAATTCCTTTATTAAGAACAATCAAACACTTGTGAAGGACATACCATAAAAAAGATGATGGGGGCATAGCTAAGTATACCAACAGATGATGCATTTCATTCATTCACTTGTGAATAAGTCCATAAAGTTTCATTAAAATCCAACAATTATTTGATTTTTTGCAAGAATTTCCAATTCAATGTGTTTTTCACCTGGAAAAAAAAGGGCGCACAAACATTCATTGTAAATTACTGACGTAAAAAAAAAAAACCCAAAAAATCAAAAAAAACTTTTAACTAAAATTTTGAACATGCTAGGAAATATTAAAAATTTAATAAAATAATAAAAAAATACTTTGGTCTTTCCTCTTATTAATAACATAAATATTTTTGCAAAACTTTTTGTTAAGTTTGGGGCATTTTTTTCATCATACTATGCTGTTTTTTTTTTTTTGTTTTTTTTTTTCAGCGACATAGTGGAGGTATCTACTCTACAAGTGATCTTAACATTTCAGGTCAAACTCTTCCATTCGTCATCAAATGAGAAATAGTTGAGTAAAAGAAACCCAAAATATCGCAGATTTTTTTAGCTGTTTTTTGTTGATTTTTACTATTTATGGAAGAATTTGTTAAATGTTTCCCTTTGTTTCTTTGTAAAACGTTTTATTGTCAGGAAAATATTAATAACTTTGAGAGAAAGAATTTACAGTATCTGTTAGTACTTTTTGAAGGAACTTCCTGAATTTCTTTTGTGAAGAGGAACAGATTCAAAATAATAGATAAAGTATCTTGACAATTAAAAGAGCAGAAACAAAAAGAATAAGCAAAGAAAATTATTTTCTCATTCAGACAAAGCAAAAAGAAGAATCTAATGCCCAAACCAAATTTAGGTATCTTTTAAAAAGATACATAAATTTTAGTGTTTGTAGTTCTTGGTTCAGACAAAATTTATTAAATTGATGGCTGGCTTGTTGTTGATGCTTGATGACCTAAATTTATCTAGGACTTGTAAATTTGATATAGTTATTTCTACTTCTGGCTTGAACAGGCAAATATAAAATATAATTCCAAATATAGGCAAGAAGTTAATTTTGTTATCATGACTGGGTGTGTAGTTGTCAGTACCTGATCAGTCTCCTCCACATATCTGGGTTGAAAACCAGAAAGGCATTCATTTGTGCATAGTTTGTTTTGGATGAGTAGGCCTAGTGTAGGTACCTCCTATTGTTGCTAAAAAATCAGTTTTGCTGTTTCATGGGAAAACACATTAATTTGGAAATTCTTGCAAAAATCAAATAATTGTCTAATTTTAATGAAACTTTCAGGACTTATTCAAAAATGAATGAGTTTATTTTTGAAACTTTTATTTTTAGAAAATCTTGGTAAAAATTTTTTTTTTTTTTTACATCTGTTACCCACCCCCATAAATTAATTTTATGAAATTTTCTAGAAGTTCCAAGAGTTTGCAAATTGTTTTATATTACTTATAAGCAGGACTCCTTGGAGAAATTAAATCATCAATTTTTTTTTTTCACCAACTTTTTTAAAAAATCTGCTCCAAACCGTAAAATAAAAACTGCAATAAACTATCTAATTATCAAATTAGATAGGCTTTTTTTGCTTTTATAAATAATATACATTAAGGACATTATTATCTGAAGGAAAAAATTTTTTTCAATGAATAAAGAATTTTTACAAGAATTGTTTGCATTTTTATTTTAGTTTTTACATTATTTTTTTTAATTTTTTTTTTTAATTTTAAAAAATGTCTTAAAATTCTATCATTCAGAGTGTGGGGTCGGTTATTAAGTTTTTAAGTGAAGACTATATTTACTAAGCGAAAATTAAAAGCTTAATACAAATAATGCTACCAAAACTTTTTACCATAATTAAAAAAATATCCTTTTTGTATGTCAAAATGTTATTTTTTTTTTTTTAGTATGATACCTCATAAGTGACATTATGGTTAAAAGGTCACATGTTTCAAAGCTTGTCTCCTCCTTGGGGAAGCCCCTTGACATGTAAAGGTCTTATCTCACTCTCAGTTATTAAATTAAAAATTAAATTGAGATAATAAAATTATCTCACTTATCAATTTAAACAATTAATAACTCGGTGAGATATTTTAATTATTAATATAATAATAATTTTAGTAGTTATTATCTCAGTTATTAAATTAAAAATGTAATAACGTAATGTAATATTAATAATTAATAAAATTATTTATCATTAACTTAGCTATTAAATAATGAAAGGGATAGAGGTAACTTAATAATGTAAGAAAATTTTATAGTATTTTAAATTATTATAAGAAACAAAAAAAATGTTATGTCACTTTTGATGCACTGTACTAAACCTGTCAACACATCAAATTATCGATGGAGATGTAATTTTTGTTTCAGAATAGATTAATTTAACTTTAAATTTGCTAATTTTACGAAAGTAACGTTTCAGAAATGTATATCTTATTTTAGCAGGATTTTCAAAACCGGAAAATAAGTTTGTTTACATTTCTCTAAAAAACCTTAGGTATACCGAAGTTTTTGGAGGTACCTAGCCTAGTGGAACCCACACACTGCTCCAAGTCAAACCCCAGCTGATATCTTCCAAACTTTAAGACTTACTTTGGCCACATGTCTGTGGCCATTGATTCCATCAGGGGAAAAACCTCTTCTCTGGCCATTGACTTCAGTCTAGGAAGCTCTCTGCCCAGCAATGTCATGTCATTGTATTTGCTGCATATACAGTTATGGAGTCAAGTCTACCCCATTGTGCTCGACAGCTGTTGGGCTGTTATAAAAATGTTCATCTGCTCTTTGACAGGTCTTGCTTTAGTTCTGCTTAGTGTCACTTCTCCACCAGAAAATCCTTGTAGAGAAACTGGATTTGTCATCAGTATTAAATTGAAACTAATTTTAAAATATTTGTAATTTGTTTTAATATAACTGTTTCATTCATCTAATATGTACATTTTTCTTGTTTTTTTTTTAGTTTTTTTCTTGTTATGTATTTTGTGCATACATTTTATTATACTCTCACAATCATTGATAGAATTTAATTTTGGAGCACTGGAATATCCATGAAACAAATATTATCAGTTTATTGTAAATTCTCAAAATTTAAAGTTTGGGTAGGGATATAAGAAAGAATGACTTTGTGAATTGGTGAGTTAAATTCTTAGTTTCTCCACATTTGGATAAGTGGAAAAGTAACTTTTTATTTTTGAATAACATGATTTGCTTGTTTCATCAGTCAATTGGTCATTTGATTGCCATACTCTCTCTCCTCTTTCCATTGATTCCTCTTTCTTTATTTTTCCTTCTTCAAATATTTTGGTTAGACTCTACAAAGATTTACCAATATTAAGGAACACATGGGTTCTGATGGTGATATTCTCAAATTTTTATGTTTTTTTATAAAGAATTAACAAAACAAAATAAGCAGCAGGATCTTTAGAGAATTATTTAAAGTTCAAATTTAATTATTGAAATTTATTTTTACTTTTGAAGATATAGTTGATCATTTGGCACAGGTAGAATTTTGTTGTATACAAGACAAGATTTGAGAATTTATTTTGCTAACTCTTAATGCTTTTTTTGCATGATCAGATTTCCCGGTGTTTCATTATTATTTCTGAGTTTTATCACACATTAAAGAGAAACAAATTGTTTGTTTTCATTGAATACATTAAGACATTTTGTGGTGCAAAAGGTTTTAGAATTAAAATACATGAAAAAAATAAATATAATAGTTTATTTTCATTCTAATCATTTTCCCTTTGTTTATGCCAGTGTTTTTATTTTTCTTCATTATTTTTTTTCCTTTGGCTGCAAAACCATTATGTATGTGTTTTCAACAAATCTTTCTCTTTTCTTTCTTTAACTTCTGAAGAAACTCCTTCAATTCTTTGAAGTAACCTTTTACTATGAAAATGTTGATTTGTCCCCCCCCCTTAAAAAAAAAATTATTTTTCCCTCCTCTTAAATTTAAAGTTCTACCTCTGATCTGAAACAAATATTTTGACTTTGCACCCCTTCTTTTTATTTTACTTTTAAAAGATTTTCCCCTCCATATGCACCCCTCTTTTTTCTCAATCATAAATCTTCCTAAAGTAATCTGTATATAATCCTGTCTCTTCCAGCTTCTCTTGCTTGAACTGGCAACAAATATTAATGGGAAGGATTTGTTTCTCTTATAAATATTATTTTTCATCTTTCAATTTGATATAATACACACACACACACACACACTAAGTACTGAATAAATATCTCTTAGTTGACTAAGAAGCAAAAAAAAATTCTCTGATGTTTAGTTAGTTGTTTGGTCAGATTAGGGGGGAGCTGGTTGAGTCAAAAAAATTTCAGCTGTCTCCAATATAAATATATATGCACACCTTGTTTCCACTAAGATTAAAAGATATTTTTTCTATATGTTCATGTTAGGCAAATATACTAATTTTCTTGGAAATGTAAACTTTTTTTTTTCTTTAAAAAAAGAACTTAATATTTGTAAATGTTTTTTGTAATTTAAAACTCTTCCTTTGTCAAATTTTTTTTTTTAACCTTTTTTGTTTTTTAAAAAAAAAGTTTCAGTTTAGAAAAATATTCAAATTTATTTTTATACTGCAATAAAAGCCATGACATATCAAGGATGCAAAACTAATTTGAAACTAAATGCATTTAAATTTTCTAACTTGTATTGATGAGACTTCTTTATTTTAATTTTGTCAAAACTGAGTGTTTTGTTTCTTTTTTTTTTATTTGCAATTTCTTAAGTATTTCTGAAATACTGAATTCCAACAATGATGTTACTTTTTCTCTGAACATTATCAGATTTTAGATGACAGCGTTTTCCATTTCAGTCAAGAAAATGACTTGATGACATTAATTATTCAGCAAAGGGATTTGATGTCTTGCTTGATTTTTTTAAGCAATCTGACTTTCAATTCTAAACATTAAAAAAATAAATCGTTAATAAAACTATTGGAATTTTTTCCAGTAAAGTTTCACAAATTTATGTTAAACAAGTTGCGAGTTTTTGTTCTGTCATCTTTGTTATTTCAGAGTCTGTATGAAAGTATAAAAAAGGAACCATTCAAGATTCCAGAAGATGATGGCAATGATTTAATGCACACTTTCTTCAATCCAGTCAAAGAGGGTTGGTTATGGAAACAAGGTCAGATTTTTTAATATTAATGCTTAAATTCATTTTTGATAAGCATTTGATAATTAGCCTCATCAACCTGATCTTGGGGATAGAATCTATAGTTTCATGCTTTGCTGTTCCAATAAATGCATTTCCTCATTCTCCCATTATCTCATTACTAACAGTTTATCAGCTGTTAGAAATCTTTTACAAGTATTCAAGTAAATATGATTGAAAAAGACTGAAACTAATACAGTTTTTGTTACATTTTCTCTATTTGACACATTTTTTTCTAGAAATGTTATTTGAACTTTTCTATGAAATTTCTTAAACATTTTCTTTCTTTTTATCATGATATCTTGTATAAATTGGCTGTATATCCAAGCAGGAAATTTTAAAATTTGCATTCACATTGTATTTATAAACTTTGAGCAAATTGTCTTGATGAAAACAAATATAAAACAAAAAAACATTACTTCTTTAGAAATTGCTTTGTTTATGTTTGTATATGAAACTGAGCAGATATAAAATTTTGAGAATCTGTGACAAGAGAGATTTTGTTTAAAGGCACTATTCAGCCTTGCTTGATTGTTAACATCCTTTATGACCGAGTTGGCCTAAAGCAATTGCATCTAATGATGGTTTCTCCTGCAAAAGCGGGTGCAGGTTTGAATCCTGTCAGAGGGTGCATATTATTCTTTAATAAGGTTTCTTGAATATTCAGGCTGATAGACAAAAATAAATATATTGTTTAAAATAAAATTAAATATTGGTTGCCCACTAAAAAATAATGTTTAAATTTGTCAGATTAATAAATAAAAAAATTTTATTGCTTATGAAAATACTGTAAACCTTAGTTTGTAATTAAAATTTTGGTTATAAATTCTCATACAACTGTGGATTACATTATTTTGAATTTTTTTTTTTTTTTTTTTTTTTGCAGGTGGACGTTACAAAAGTTGGAAGCGAAGATGGTTTATACTTAATGATAACTGCTTGTACTATTTTGAATATACAACAGTGAGTCTGTCTTTATTGTTAATTTGAAACCACTTTTCCTGCTCTTTTTTTTTTTTTTGTCTTTTGCCGTGCTTTTGTTTTTGAGATTCCTGGAAGAAAAAATGTCATTCAGTTAAAAATGGAATCAAGAAATAGTTTCAATATTTCAATTGGCATCATTAAAGCTTTAATTTTCCATTTCTCAAAACAAAAAATGAAAAAAAAAATTGAAGAATTCTGATTAAATTTGGTTATTACATTGGCTACTGTAACAAATATCTTGTCTGTTAGGCTCTTGTGCTGGAACATTTAAGAAACTAAGTAAAGATAAATTACTACCCAGAAGTTTAGGGGGATGATCATTGGTATGGGTGACCAGATTTGAGTTGCTGTCTATAGTCACAGCTTTTTGTTGGATAGGTGTTTTGTTTTAAGGGTTACCCAGGGTGATCAGGGGGGGGGTATCTTGGTTCAAACAACATGAAATGTGGCAGTATATTCTTAGATCATGCGGGGTGTAATTCTCATTGGTTCAAGTTCCTTAATCTCCCTAAACCATAGAGAGTTTTGTCTTGAATATTGAAGGTGTAGATCACATTCATGGTGGTGACAGTCTTGTTATGCTCAGTGTAGATGATTCAAACATTACGTTCTTGAAGAAAAGTTTTACAATGCCAGTGGTCTCTCTTCATAGGTGAGGCCGGAGGTGGCTGAGACAGCAAATAGCAGGACACATTCTTACAGAACAACTTGTAGCAACTCTTAATGACACCCTTTCTCAATTCAGAAATCTGATTATTCAATTTCCTCAAACACAACTACTCCCTGAGCCACACTAGTGATGAGGGTGGCAAACTGTTTCAGATGTGAACAGTTTACTGCTCAAAAACCAAATTGTACAAAATTATTTTCCATCAGAAAAATCTCTTGTTCCCTCCCATTTTCTTGTTTACAGTAAAATCCAACTGAAGATACCAGTTCTCATTCAATCACCAAAGTTAAGCAGCGTTAAACCCGATCATTACTGATTTGACCTATCAGTATGACTCCTAACCAATCAAAACATGCCTAACCTCTCAATTTTCTATTTGTACTTTGCTACTTGGTTAAGTTTAACAACAGATGTAATATTTCTAATTTTCAAAACCTTTTTTTTAAACTACATTTTTTGATTTCTTTTTCTTTTTTCCCCCCTCACCTCAGGACAAGGAACCCAAGGGAATTATTCCCCTTGAGAATATCCGGGTACGTGAAGTGGGTGCTGATAAAACCAACAAACCCAACTGCTTTGAGATTCATTCAGGAAATCATGAAATCATTAAAGCTTGTAAATTAGATTCTGAAGGAAAAGTTGTCGAAGGTATTTCTACACATTTTCTAATAATCATTTATATATATATATATATATATATATATATATATATCATGGCCAGTGAAAGTATTTTTGTGTGTCTGTTATCTTTATGTATCTTTCACAATTTCTTTCATGTTGCTTCTTTTTCTTTCATGTTGCTTCTTTTTCTTTCATGTTGCTTCTTTTTCTTTAATAGCTGTAAACTGTGCATTATCATGATTGCTCTTGGGAAAGATGGGATGGTTTTTTCTTGCCTTATATGTGGTTTTGAATTTGTAGTTGTAGTTCTCTTAGGCTGATTGCTATCCAAGGCTAAAGAGACCAGTTTACACTGCTTTTTAGCCCATTGATGGAGCAAAGAGAATAAATGGGTTCATCCCTTTCCCATATTCATCAGATGAAGTGAACACAAATCATCTCAGCTGGAACTTGAACTCATTTTGCTGATTCTGTCTTCCCACACTTGTTAACCATTATTTCACTCATACCTGTAATTCTTGGAGACATGATTCATAAAAATGTTCAGTTTTTTGTTTCCTGAGACACACGGTTTACAAGCTTCCTATGAGACAGAAAGTTTACAAGCCTAATCTCAAACAAAGCAGTGAATTTAATATTCCATCACCTAAAAGGGGTTAAGCTGATATAATGAAATTATTAAATGAAATGGTTGAATTTTTTTAAAAATCCCACATTGATATTGCATGTGTTTTTCAATTGGTTCCTGCTGAAAAGCAACAAAATGTTTGTTTTATACAATCATATTTTAAGATTTTCTTTCTGTAGGAATTTTAAAAACATTTGTTGTGCATTATAATGACTTAAAAAGCTTGCATGACTATGAATTTAGTTTAAAATATTGATTTTGTGGTTTATAGGTAAACACACTGTTTATAGAATGTCAGCCTCAAAAGCAGAAGACAAAGATGAGTGGATACGTGCGATCAAGTAAGTAGCTTATTGTTTACTTTTTTTTTTCTCTGTAGAATTAAACAAAATATCAATTGTTTGTTTGGTGATAGCTTTTATTTTCTTTGGGGTGAGGAAAAATAAAAAGAATTGCTATTTTTTTTTTTTTTTTTAAGGATTTGACACACAAAGTTAAACCTTTTTCATAGTTTATCTACTTTTGTGAAAAGTTAAAAAAAAAAAAAAAAATTAAAGTTTACCTTGTCAGAGTTTTCTCAATTATCAAGTCCTTCCTAACAGGTAGATTAGGTAGGTAACAGGTAGGATGTTGTTGATGGCCAATCAGCTGAAGCCCAGGAGATCACTGCAGGCATTTCCCAAGGCTCTCTTCTCAGTCCTACACTGTTTATATTAATTACCCGCCTAAGAACATAATAAAATCTTATCTAAACAGATAATACAACTGTATATCAGTGCACCTCCAAAAATCTACATTACCTGAGCCTGGCAGCTGATTGCCCCTCTAACAGCTCAAATCGGCTGTTTTTTTAAATAAATGACTCCTGTTGTACTCTCTTTACAAGAGCTAGATCAGACCACAAATGGAGTCCTGCTACCGTATTTGGCTTGGAGCTGCCCCAGTCATCATTTTTCAGTCTTGATAATTCAAAATAGTGAAAACAGCCTTATGGGTAATGAATTATTTTCCATCCTATAACCCCTTTCCCCACAGATGAAGCATTACAAGCCTCTCATTATTCTATCATTATTTCCATGGTAAATGTTCTGGTGAGCTACATTCATTAGTTCCACCAGTTTTGACTTTCACAACTAAGACCTACCATGCCACTTACACTGGGATGAATCATTCTGGTGTACTTCATATTCCATTAGTAAGGAGGAAGTTTCATTCAAAGAACTACATCTTTATGGAACAGACTCCTCAGATGATGCTTTCCTGACCACTATAATCTTAACCTCTTCAAGTCTAGGGTTAACCATTATCTTTCCTATAAATCTTCATAAACTGCACTTACTTCCTCTTAGGCTCATACAACAACCTCATTCAGTAACCCTCTGCCTTGAGTAGCTCTTGGGCCTTGTATTGGGTTGAACAATTAAAAAAATATATATATCAATATAAGCAAATAGGTAAATTTAATAAATTGCTACATAAACTTTTAATTGTCAAAGCAATATAAAAAATGTTATTAGGAAATATGAAAATAATCACTACCTTTATTCAACATTGTCTTCTTTTCCTTTTTATTATCTGTTCCATCTTATACTCTTTACTACCTGCTGCTGCTGACACTTATTCCTTTTAAATTTTTTTTCTTCTCCTTAATTGCTTGTACTGAGTTTTATCAATAAAGGAAAAAAAATGTCACTAGTAAATCTGCTACCAAAAATAGTATAAGAATTACAAACTTTTTTTTTTTTTTCTCTCAAAATTATTTTTCTTTCATTTCTTTGTTAAATTTTCTTTTTCTTTTCAGAGCCAGCATCAGTGAACATCCTTTCTATGAAATGTTGGCTCTCCGAAGAAAAAATGCTGTGACCCATCCTTCCAAGACCACATAGTTGGCCATTACTACTCATTACCACTCTTATCATTATATTAATAAAAAAAAAAACAAACAAAAGATGATTATAATAATAATAATATTATTATTATTATGAATTAACTATCCAACAACTGACAATAATTCCTACTCCTATTTTGATCATGACCAGTTAACCCAAACTGTTGGTTTGAACCCAATGAATAAAACTGGTGTGTTTATTATTGTGATGACACTTGAAGAACATTAAAAGAACAAAAAGCAAAATGAAGTGCTGGGACAAGATTTTGAGGAGTGACTGTAGAAAAGTGTGGCTGCAAATGAGGAGTGGGTCTAGTTACCTGGACAAATATTTTTTATCTTTACACCAACTGGAAGATAACCAGTTATGTGCTAGTCAGGAACCTTTTCTTATCACTGGACATCTTCAAAAGAATCTAAAACTTCTATACATTGTCACATTGATTGGGGAGACGTCTAATCCACATTTCTCACTTTCTTTATTCAATTTTTGAAAAATCTGGTTAGACTTTTTTTTTTCTTTTTCTTTTTTTTTTAAAAGGGGGGAAGAAATGTTTTCATTTGTCCATATTTTTGATAAGTACATCTTTGCCCAATTACTGAAATTTTTCATGCATGCACTTTTGGTCTGTCTGCTGTTGCTATATGTGTGACGTTTCTAAGCACATTTGTTTTCCTTTTGTTTGCAAATTGACCTTGTAGTGTATCATAAACATGGTTTTTAATTAAACTTGAATGTTTATGAAATAAGAATAAATTAAATGCTTGAATTTATGAGGAGATGCTAGTCTGTATGTTCATAGCTGATTTATTTTTTTTTTTTTTTTTACTTGGAAAAAAAAACCTCAAATGTACAGAGCACAAATTTGAATTTTTTAACTTCTGCCTATTGTTCTATTAAAAGAATTTTTTGTTAACTCTTTACACCTTTTGGCTTCTAGCACTTCTAAAAGAAGAACTGGAAATTTCATTATTTTTACTTATTCTGAAGGAAATAATAAATTCTCTGTGTAAAAATGTTCATCTTTGTCAAAAATCTAAAGAGAACCTTTGTTGATAAGAAATGTCTTTCCATTGACTTGTTCAATTCATTTTAATTCATTACTAGTCTGCAGAAGCTGCAAAAAGCTCTTAAAATATTCAAAGCTACCATAAGCTTGGTATTGTCTTAAGAATCATAGAACATAATCAGGACTTTTTTATTTATTTTTTTTATTTTTGCAGCTTTTTCATATTCATGCATGTATTTAAAAGAAATTTCTTTTTAATTAATAATCAGGCTAAACTGAAATGTGAAGTAGACTTTATTATTGTGCAGAACAAACTGTTTATGCTTTTGAAAATCTTACAAAATTTCCCCTTAACTGTTTTTTTTTTTTCACTTTTTTTTTCCTCTGGCAGAATTAGCAAAGCCTTTTAAAATCTAGAAATTAAATTTTTGCAGGACTTAAATTTTGAGTCACATCAAACTGTTGATCACACAAGTTACCATTATTATTATTATTCTAATGCATGTTTTGGTTGCTTTAATTCCTTTTTGTCACTCTATACACACACACACACACACACACACACACAACATTTAAAATAGTTGCTCTTAGTATGTTACTACTGCTGCATCTGTTATTGCTGCTGCTTCATTCTGACCGATATATGCTGGTTTTAGTTATTGGTAAATCTCTTCGAATTCTCATCAATATTTAGGTTTTATTTTAGAGCTTCACTGCTGCTTCTGTCTTCCCTGCTAATTAATGTTTATTTTCCTTAAAATTATCAGTAATGAATGTTTAGAGATAAATTTTAAGTACTTTTTTCTTCTTTTTTTTTATTTTGGTTTTGGGACCATTTTATATAGATTTTTTTTTTTTTTTAAATCTATTTACTCCTCTGTGTTAATGAAATATGAGGAAGATTAAGATATTGTTTTCATGTTAATTAATCAGAAACTAAATTCTTTAACCAAGCCTAGAACTAATTTTTTTTTTTTTTTTAATTTTAAATTCATGATTTTAAATATTTTTACATGCTGAACATTCCATTCAAGCACTTTACTGCGGGGATTTTTTTTTTTGTATCTGATTCCTCTTTCAGTTTTATATCTCTTTTTTTTTTTTTTCTTAATGTTTTCTAAAATTTTCATTCGCTCAATCCACCAGAAATCTGCTTCCTCACAATGCATAGATGTGTGTATGCAATGTATATGTGTGTGTGTGTGTGTGTGTGTGTGTATCACTCCCCCACTCTCAGATTAATAGTCCTAAAACATTTCATTGTGCTCTCGTTAAAAATGGCATCAACTGCATAAGATTCATCAGTAATATTGATTTTAAAAGTAAAATAAAAAAATAAAAATTATTGCACGGACCAAAAGTGCTTCATGTTGAATAAAAATGTGACATGCTTGTTTTTTTTTTTTCTCTCCTGCTTTCTTGCATTGATGGGAGTTTAGAGTGTTCTGGTTAATTTTAGAAGAACACTTCTGTTTTTTTTTTTTTTTTTTTTTTTTTCAAAGAAAAAGCCACTTCCCTCCCTGCCTCACCTTCTGAACATAAAATTCTCATCATTGTCACCCATTGTCATCATTTATAAAATGCTAATTTTTGCATGCCTGTAACTAAACTTCCAGTGTGTTATGAAAGGTGGATGGGGGCAGGGAGAGGACCCTTAAATCTGCACTACCCATTCTGTCTACAGGGTTTACAAATTGTCCAAAAGAAGGGAGGGGAGTAACAGTCTTTTTTTACCATTTCATTTTAACCAAACTTCTTGAAAATAGAATTTGTTTGGATGAGAGACGCACATTCTATAAAATAATGATATTCAAGGGAAATGAATGTCAAGTAAATGCTAAACATTTTTCTCCTTGCAAAATCTTATTTAATTTTACAGCTTTTTAAATGACTTAAATGAACTTTTTAAAATCTTTTTAAAATTTGATAAAATGATCTTCAATCATTTTTGTTGCATCAAACTTTCTGCCATTTTTTCATTTTCTTTGAAAATTTCTCATTGGTTAAACTTTGCTAGTTTTTTTCTGCTTGTAACCTTTTAGGATTGTGAACACCAAAAGCAAAGAGCAACAAAGAATGGTTCTCACACAAAGCCTCCCTTTTAATGAGATTTACTTGGATTTGGCCAAGTCTGGCACAAGGCCTATTTGTTAATTGGATCTGAGATTAATTTAAAAATCTTATGGTCTTTTATTTTTTCATATTTCTTTTATCATTTTGAAATGCACTTTCATTCTTGCTTAAACCAGCAAGAATCAAAATTAGGATTTTTAAGTCAGAGACATTTTCTTTGGTCAAGGAAAATAAATTCTAGAAATGTGTTGAAGTTGGCATTAATTGTTCTTTTGTTCTAAAGTTAAATTTTCTCTCCTGTGGGGAAGAAAAAAAATTTATGGAGTGAGTATTTTAGTTTCTCCAGTTTCTGGCTAAAGAAATCATTACATAAGAATTTGAACATTCACAGTCATTGGATATATATATATATATATATATATATATATATATATATATATATGTAAATCCCACAATGCAATATTGGTATTGACTTCTTTTTGGAAGAAGAAGAAAAAAAAGATAAGAATAATAAGGTTATTAACCCAGACACTAATTCATTGGCTATCTTCCCTATTTGTCTTTTATTTTTCATCAATTCCTGGCCTAATTGTTTTAGTCCTGCTTCAGTTCATTTCTTTCTGAGCCTTGGTCTGATATGGAATGTTTATTCTTATCATATATGTAGAATTATTCAAAGAAAGAATTAATAAAAACAGTCTTACTTTTATTAAGAATTATTGGTGGGGGGGGTCATATTTTAGTATTTTATTAAAATTAACTTTTGCAATAAATTGTTCAGGAATTAAAATTCTTATGCATTCACACCACCACCACCTACATCAATAACAATGATGGCTTTGGTCAAGTGACCCAAAAAAGAAAGTAGGTTCAATGATTTGAGAAAAGTAAGATAAGTTTCCCTTTGCAATAAAACTTTTTCACTCTACAATTAAAATGAAAAACAAAAACGGCCAACTGAAAATCCAAATAGTATTGTTTTTAATCTTGTCATTTGTTCATTGTTTTTGCATTTAGTTTAGATTCAAAAGTTTATTCAATTCTTAAAGTTTTAAAGGAAAAGATGGAAACTTAAATTTTTGTCATTAATTTTTTTAAACTTAATTCATTTACATTTCTTGAAGTTTTCTTAATTAAATGTGTCTTGACCTGGAGAATTTCTCTCACTTTTTCTGTCTTTATTTTGGGATTTTTTTTTTTCTTTCCTTAGGGGGGAACTGATTGACCCCAGATTCTCTGTGTTTTTTTTTGTTTTTTTTTCCTCCCTCCTCCTTGGTGCTATCAGCCACCTGTTGTTATTGTTTTTTCTTTGGTTTTTTTTAAACTGAGGTGACAATCAGGCACAACCATAATCTAAGCAGCAAGTTATACTGTTATACTTGGAGATTTCTGATATCTGGATTTTAGAAATTTTTCTTTCACTTTAAAAATTAATAAAACTAAATACCAAGCCCACCACCACCATGCACAAGGTTTTCTTTTTTCTGTTCATTTTTTTAAATTTTGAAAATATTTTTCAATATAAGCTAAAGCAACATTTTTCTTTTTACTATGTCTCTAGATTAAGAATGAAACTTTTGTGTGGTTAAAAAAAACAAAACAAAATCTACTGCACAGTTGGTAATTCCAATCCAAGTCTGGTTGTCATGTTTTGCTAACAAAGCCAGTGCCTTGAAGCTGTTGCCAAAATTTATACAAAAAATATAAAACCAACTCGAATAACAGCAAGATTCTTTCTATATAAAAATGTTTTTCTCCTTTTGTCTCCCTCTTCCACCTTTGCCTGCTTCTATTACTAGCCACAAAATGGTGAGCTTCTTTTGTGGTTTTTATTTAAGAATTAATTCTTTTCCCTGCCTTCCCTCCTCAATCTGGAAGTTTTTTTTTTTGTGTGTGTGTGTGTGTGTGTGTGTGG